GTAAGTTTTATTCTTCTTTTTTTTTTCCTCTCATTTTCATTTATTTTTCCCCTCCTCTGTTTTCTCTTCAACCCCTGCGCTTAAGATGACTTGAAATTCTCCTTTCGTTGCCACTCAGCTAAAGAGGTGGGATTGTTCCAGCGCCAGCAAGTTCTTAGAACCTGCATTTCACCTCTTTTATTTATGCATTCACTTTGTTTATTTTGACTGGGTTATACCTGATCTCTCCTTCTCCTACTGTAAAAGAGAGAGAGCGAGCGAGAGCGATCGGAAAGTTATTTTTTTTTTTAAGTGCTTTGATCCTCTCCTGTGAAGAACAAAAGGCACTGCCTGAATTAAAGAGATAATGATACAAGTTGACATGAGCATTTCAAGGTGATTTCGAGCTAGTCAGGTGGAAGGAAGGAGGGGGGAAAAGGATGAAAACATTTTTTTTTTTTTTAATTTTTTTTTCCCCTTCGCTTTAAGGAATATTTAGGGAAGGAGGGAGTGCGAGGGAAGAAAGAGCAGGGAGGTGAGGCGAGGCAGAGCAACCTGGGCTGGCTGTGCAGGGGCAGAGCAGGGGTCGGGGGAGATGCGCCCGGGGATGCGCGGAGCCCTGCGCGCCCCCAAGCTCCGCGCATTTGGGGCCGGGCCGCCGCTGCTTCTCCGCGCTCTCCCCCTACGCCTTTAAGAGGCTTTTCTCTCTCCCCCACAACAAGCAAATGGTGCTGGGCAAAGGCATGTAACTGCACGATCTGCTCTAATTACCCCGCGGAGGTAATTGGGCTGAGGGAAGCCCTAGGAAGGCTACAGCTCCGCGCTTCTCCGGCTGCTGCGGAGCGGTGCAGGAGGAACGGGGGCACCCCAGGGCTGCGGGGACACCCGAGAGCTGCGGGGATACCCCAAGACCGCGGGGACACCCCAAGGCTCCAGGATACCCCAAGGCTGCGGGGACACCCCAAGGCTTCGGAGCGGAGGCTCCCCAAATCTCGGAGACGGAGCCGCTTGCTGCAGGGGTGCCGGGGCGGTGCTGTAAATAATCACCCCAACCACCCCCCTAAAAAAAAGAAAAAAAAAAAAAAAAAAAAAAAAGAAAGAAAAAAACAATGCTAAAAATATATATTATGGTTGGAAAAATGCACGGCCCCCGGCCGGGAAGGGGGAGCAGGGTGCAGGTGGCAGCAGCAGGGTGGCTGAGGAGCTGGGGGCCGGCTCCGCGCTGCCCGGCGGTGCAGAGGTGAGGGTGTTGAAGGCAGCCTCTCCAACTATGTCAGGTATGTCTGAAAGCAGGGAATTCGTTGGGATGGGAGAAAGGCAATAAAATGCAAATGCGCGCTTGGGAAGACAGGCAGCAAGAGCACCTGGACGGGAGTCATTAAAAAGCAATCTTTTATTCCCAGCCACGATCTAACTTATAATTAGAAACTCCGCTTGCATTCCTGATTGGAGAAGGAAGCGCATTCCTCCAATACCAACATAAATATTCCCTTGTCACCTACCGAGGGGAGAGGAGGGCAGGGCGGCTCCGAGCCCCCGACCCGCAGAGGTGCCCGGCGCTGGTGAGGGCAGCTCTGCTTCCAGCCGGGGCTGCAGGTGTGACGGGGATAGGGAGGGAAATGCTTTTTAGTATTTTATTTTCTTCTTTTCCCCCTCTCCTCCTTTCCCTTGGTGCCAACCAGCGGTTTTAGACGTTTATTTTGCAAAGAGAGCGAGCCCCCTTAGGCCATGGAAATGCAAAGGAGGTTTTGATTGGGGTGGGGGAGTCGGAGGAGAGGCCGGGTGTTGTTACGTGTGCTGTCTAAATTCCCCCCCGTACACATCCCTTTCCCTCTTTATTTATCCCCAAGCAAGATATAAACCCAGAGGCACACCCTGACCGGAGCCCCGGACACCCGGAGGCCGGAGGTGCAGCACGGGGGTCCCTCGGAGACCACAATCACAGCAGTGCAGCTTCTTTTCTCCTGGCCAGATCGCTCCCTGCAAGGACAGCCTGCTTCCAAACTAGACCATTTAGCAAATCGATCACACTTCTTTATTTTATTTTGATTTTATTTTGTCCTTGCTTTTTTTATTATTTTTTTTTTGACTGCAGGGAGGGAGACAGGGCCAGAATTTTTTTATTCGGATAGTGCAAGCAACAAACATCTCATCCCAAACCTCTCTGTTTAAAGCCTCCTGAATGTTTGCTCCTAGCTGCTTGACTGCTTGGAACAGCAAATCTGTAATTTACCATTCCCAAATTGTGCCCCCCCCCCCCTCACCCCCCCGTGAATAATAGTTTCTAATTAAAACGTAAACTCCCCTTAATGCACACAGAGCTACAGATACCTACTCTGCTTTCAGCTTCGAGACAATTTGAGCAAAAGCAGGGACTAAGAAACGATACTTTCCTGTAGGGCTTGGTTAATTATTATCCCAAAGGAAAGAAATTAGGGGAAACACCAAGTGTGTATTTGTCAGGGAGAGCAAGTGGGCATGTATCTGTTACTGTAATTGCCTCCACACAGAGCGCCTGGCTTGGCTGTGCTCTTTAAGTTGCTGTTCCCACCATGGCATAGGGGCACCTGTTTAAAATCGAGCTGTGCAGTGCTGGGTGGGCTCTGCACAACCCCAGATGCGTGGTATGTAAAAAAAAAAAATAATAATAAAAAAATAGAATAAGGGTAAAGAGAACATGGAGAAAAAAGGGAAAGATCCCCCAGAGCTCTTGTGCTCTGTCCTCATCCTTTCAGCAGCAATGGGGGGAAAAGTTACGGGAGGGTCTTAGAGACAAAAATCTCCAAATAACGAATTTACAGAAGGGGATGAGATTGGCTTTGAAAACTATTATTTAAAGTAATAAAATAAGAGGGTGCCGGTTCCTATTGGGACCGATGTGGCAAGTCTGCAGGGACATGCTGGTGTGATTTATTGTGGCACAGTAACCCCATGGGACCTTCCCCAGCACAGCACAGCATTGCACCCTGCGACCTAAAGCAGGCACTGGTAGCAGCAGCAAGCTCTTCTGCACCCAGTGGGCCAGATTAATAGCAATATATATATATGTATATATATAATACATAATATAATAATATATATGTGTGGGGATTTTTTTGTTGTTGTTTTTCCAAATATTAGTGCTGTTCATTTTTTGTTGTTGTTTGCTTGTTTGTTTGTTTTTTTAAATAAAAGAGAGATCAGACTGGGTGAAGGAAAGAAAATTAGGAAAATCAGAAGCAAAATTCATGAGCGGAGGGGATTAGATGTCTCCTGTCCTGTTGGAGTATGGGGCAAAAGCAGTGTCATGCTGGCAACATGAACAGAATTACAACTTTTCCCAGCTAACTTGCACTGCCTTGGCTGGCTGGCTGATTGCACATGCAATGGAAAAACATTTTACTTTATTTTATTTTTTAATCAGTGGCATGATGCCGGACTTGGTCTGAGGACAGTCAGAGAGGCAGAAGTGCTTCAGAAGGGATAAGAGTTTGATTTAGGAAGAAAAACCAGCACTAAAAGATGAGCTGCAGTGCTGAGGATTGGTCTCCCCACATCCCGGGAGGTGGTGCCTGCGGGAGGAGATGGCTGAGCGGAATCAGAAGTATGGGCAGACCTCCTCGCCATGGCTGGAACCTGCCAGCTGGCATCTCAGATCTTGTTCTTCCTGGGGTGTGAAGCAGCTTGGTGCATGCTGAGTGGTAACAGCGCGTGCCTGGGGAAGGGCTGGAGGGGGACGCCTCAGTGGAGGAGATGGTCACTGTACAGGGCTTTGTGTGGCAGCACCCTGTGTGTCCCTTCCTCTGTCCCACTGATCCCCAAGGGGCCTCGTGTGATGTTCCCCAGATGGGGGTAGCCAAGGAAAGCACAGTAGCACATGAGATCCAGTCCTGAGAGCCAGCTGCGAGGTCTTGATCTTGGGCCAACACCTGGCTACTGTGCACTGGAACAGGGCTGCACAGAAGTGGGTGAAATCCTTTCCCTTGCCCCTAAGGGACCCAGCTGGGCATGAGGGGCCACCCTCACCCCTCCTGGCTTGTCTGCTTCACCCCAATGGGTTGTGCAATGTGAAGAAGGACAGGATGTGGTGGAAACAGGGAGAAGACACAGATGCTCCTGTGTGATGTGACGTAAAAGTAGTCGCTGTGGTTTATGCTGCTCTTGCACCCAAACCTGAAGGTTTGGTAGGACACAGATGATGCAGTGTGGTCTGGCCAGGGTGCACTGGAGGTGCCCTATGTCAGAAGTGGCACAAAAAAAGGAAAAATGATGAGGGTTTGATGGGTGAGAGCTGGTGGACCTCCTGTCCAATCTGTTGCTCTCTGTAAGACCTGTGTCACATCCTAAGTGGGGAGGGATGAGATTGGCCCCATTACGAGTTGGGTAAGGAGATGAGTAATAACTGCTGGCAGCAGAGTAAAAGCAGTGTCACTGAAGATGCCAGGCCAGCATCAAGAAGTGGCTGTGAAGAGTGAGTGTTAGAAATATTTTCCTGTCTGTGACCTCGTTTTGCACTGATTTTAGGTTCTTATTGCTTGTTCTCCAAGACCAGTAACAGAAGCACTATTGGTTGAATCATCCATGTGGGATGAGGTTGGCCAAAGTTGGTGATGTTCTGCAGTAGCCACTTTACAGCCCACAAAGGCTGGAAAAATGATCTAATGGATCTATCCATCCCCATTTTTTGTGATTCAGGAAATGTAAGTGCATGGGAGCAGGGTGGGATGGCAGCCTTGCCAATAGAAAGACCAGTGACCTGGAGGCATTACTCCAGCTATATGCAGGTTCAACAGCTCAATGTGTTCTGGATCCCATAAGAAACACAATTCTCCTTTCGTTGCAAATCCTAGAGAACCAAGCTGAGTCTTGGCAGGCTCTGCACTTGAGAAACCGAAGCTTAGGTTTGGCAGAGAGTGTATAGGTTAAGTGAGAGGTGATCTTTCCTCTTTAGCCAGGAGGGAGGCAGAGCCATGGAAGGTCACCCAAGGGGCAGCGTGAGCCATGCACATTGACATCAGAGCTCCTAAAGCAATCTCTAGAGC